GTTGGTTGAGGAGAAGTGCTGCGTAAAGTTCCAGACGTGGCAAGGATTTCCGAGGTTCTGTTTCCAACAAATGTCTTCAGTTGGACTGGCACATACGATAGCCAGGAGAGCACTATAGATGAGCCGGACCAGCCAAAAACAGTTATGTTCTTGTGGATTAATCCAGATCTGATCGAGCGAATCAGTTGGTTGAGGAGAAGTGCTGCGTAAAGTTCCAGACGTGACAAGGATTGTTGTTTCAGTGGAGCCACCCTTGTTTTCGCATCCACAATGGACATCGAGATGGATCCATCGTCATTTGTGACTCTGCTGTACACCACAGCAGCATACGTCTTGGTTGAAGCATCCGGAAATCCGTGGAGTTCGATGTTGTCCGGGTCGTTGGCAACAAATCGTGGTAGTCGGAACTTTTGGAAAAGAATTTTGAATTGAATGACAATGGGTGCCAAGAGTCCGAGAGGATCAAATACCCCCGAGACGTCGGACAAGACTTGTCTCTTTGAGCAATCAGGATTTGCAACTAGACCAACATTGTACGTTAGGAAGATTTTTCCAGGATGCCAGTACAGTCCGAGAACCTTTATTGGTGACGTTTGTGCAGATTGTGTGTCGCTATCGTTCGTTTGTATACTTGGTGTATTCGATACCCATTTTCCGAGTTCAAGGTTGGCGCGAGACATCAGCTGAACCAGCTCGTTTCGGTTTCGAAGTAGCTCATCCTCACTGTTTGACCCAGTAAGAACGTGATCGACATAAAAATCCTCCGCAGGATTTTCGACGCATTTGGGTATTCCTCTTGATGATCGATAGCAAGTTGTTCCAGCACTCGCACCGCCAGAAATGGTGCGCATAAAGTTCCGTAGGCTTGATGGGATCGGATGGATCTTCTCTCCAAACGATTTTCTGGAAGTTTCTGTGCTCTTCGTTGACCCATATATGGCGGAACATTTTTACGAGGTCCGCTGAGAATGCAAATTTGTACATTCCAAAACGAAGACACCCAGCGAATAGATCACGCTGGATACTAGGCCCTGTAAACAGGGTGTCATTTAAAGCCATACCCTTGGCGTCGCGAAATGATCCTACTACTCGTAGCTTCCGACCCAGAACTGGGTAGTGTGGTAGATAAAACCGATTACCAGTAGCGTTTTCCTCAGGTGGCACCTCTCGCATGTGCCCCAGATTTGTGTACTCCCTCATAAAGTTTACGTACTGTGTACGCAGCTGCTCGTTCTGTTGCAGCCGCCGCTCATCCTGATCATCCTACAGTTCCAATTTTGCGCTGCTTTGAACATTATCCAGTTCCCAAAACTTTTGAAGCGTGGCGCCTATGTCCACTGTTGTAGTCAATGCACAAGCGTTGCTTGGACTCGACCCATCCGAACACCGAAGAAATGGCGATAAAATTACCCTTGTTGTCGTACATCTTTCGTCCTGTAAACACTGACCATACGTGCCCACTGCCCAATTCTATTGTCAACAGGTTAGTTTGTGTTGAATTCAGTATCCGCCAACTGCCTTGAGCGCCGATGCATCAATGTTTTTTTTTTTTTTGCCTTTCCAGCGAAGAAGTGATCCTGCCTAAACTTGAACCGGCGTGCTCGAATTAGCCTGATTTGCAGCCAGTCGCTCAAATAGTTGTTGGTTTTGTTGCAGCAAATTGGCAATCGCTTCGTTGTTGGAATGCAGAACGTTGCTGCCATTCCCAAGAGGTTGTAGAGCATCACTTCTGTCTTTGACAATTGCGATCGCCCTTAGGTACTTTTCTCCGTAAATCGCATTATCGATCTCCGGATCGATGTAACCTTCCACTTCCTCGTGGACAGCAATGCAATCGCCGAACTCGTTGAACTCCTTCCAAACTTCGTGGAGAAGTTGTATGCGTTGCAGACAACGTGTGATGAGAGACAACGTGTGATGTTAGCCTTGAGCCTGGAACGGCTTTTCACAAATGCAAACAATTATGTTATGTATGTTATGTACGACGCTGTATTAGGGCTAGTACTCAACCCAAGAAAAAGTCGTCCAAAACAAAAACTTCATATGAAACAAAATTTTTTGACGTTGTTTTTCATATGAAGTTTTTTGTTTTGGACGACTTTTTGTTGGGTTGAGTACTAAGCCTTAGCGGCGTTGCCAGAAACTAAAGAGAGATTGTGTATGTATACATGTTTTCTTGTACATAGGTTAAGTATATAGAACAGAATAGAGATGGCACTAGGCGCCTATATGTTAGAAATTATTAAAAGCTACAAGCGTTTACAAACATTCCCCTTTTCTAAATATTTAGAACTTTTTGCTTACTTACTTTTAATTTTAAAGTGATAAAAACCTCGTGCGACATGCATGTACCCTCGCCCCTTTTTGTGTGTTGGCTAAGTCTAAGCCGACATTACCTCGAGTTAGCTAAAAACTTCTTTATAAAATGAGTTAGAAATATGATTTGACTTTAAGAATGACACAGCAATTTGCTCTAAGTGGCTTTTAATTGATACAAATGCACATTAAAGCATGATCTTTAACTGTGTATATTCGTTTTATATTCATGAAAATATGTAGCGCTACGCTGCACAGTGTAAGATTTTGCCAATCTAGGGGGACTTTTAGCAAAGGTTGAACTATTTTTAAAGTCGATGAGCTTTAAGCAGCACTTTTAGAAATGTTCAACTATTACGAAAACAGGCACAAAACAAAACAACAATTTCTTTTTTTTTTAAGATAAGGGTTGTTGTACTTTAGAAATGCATGCAAGTTTGCACTGGGAAGCGATCAACAGTTGACAAAGTTTAGTCTTATCAATTGCATCGCGTGATTAGTGGAAGCTGCCAAAAGTTATTTTATTTATTATTTTTTAATCCACTTTCAAAAACATTTTTTTTACCAAAAAATTTGTTGTTCGTTTTTTTCTGTTTTTTGGTGGAACAAAAACGTTTATTATTCTATCGTATTCTATCTAAAAATCTAAGAATCTAAAATAAAATCTTACCCATATTTTGCCCAAAGACCTTCTATTTAGAAATTAGTGAAATAAGCCGTGCTGCATTTTTCGAGGTTTGGTCAAAAACATTTGAGTTTCAAAACAGATTTGAGAAATCTAGAAGAGATATTTACTGCAAGGTTTCTTGGCTTCATGTCAGATTAAATGTCGAGGACTATCGCATTGATGTCATTGCTTCCACCTCAAGTAAAAGCGGGAGGGCACAAAAAACCTTTTTTGAGTCTTGTCCTAAAGCACAAAAAAGAAAAGCCAAGAATTGTTGTCAACAATAGATGAGGATCAATAGCTATCAGCCGCAGAACAGGCTTTTCGGGCGGAACGAAAACCAGATTCAGCTAAATTAATTAATAATTATCAAATGCTGGAATAATGGCTTTTCAAAACGCCTTTCAGCAGATCAAGCACTTGCCCTTATGATAGACAATAAAAAAATGTTCCAAAATGTTATTCATGTTATGATCTCGTACACTCATCCGATCCATTTATAGCAAGTTTGCGAGCACCACCAAAAACTAGACACTTAGAGCTTCCAGAAGATGTGTCTCAACCTTTATCAAAAGATGGATACACTGACAACAGCTGTGACTCGAATTCAGAGTCTGACTAGCTTGGCAAAAAAAAAGTAGTAAATTTGTTCTATAAAGTTTAAATTGTTACCATTTTTTTTTTTTTAAATACCAACGTTTTTTTGTTTTGTAATCAAATATCTTTAATATAAGACCTTATTTGCAGCTGTTCAGCTATAACATAGAAGTTACAGCTTAAAACATGACCAAAATCCATCATTTTCCAAAAATGTTTTTAAGTTTAAGTTTAACGACAATAGCCAACATTTTCGAATATTTTTTTAAATATTTTTTTTGGACCACGCCCATTTCGGTTTTTAGGCGTGTATTTTTAACGATGCCATTTATGCCAGCATTTTTGCATTTCTTCTCACTTTTACAAATTTGACGAAGTGTAGCTTCTAAACTAATGAATGGAACTCAATGCAGTGTATAAAAAAGTTGGAGGGCATTCTATTACCTGTAAAATGAGTCATTTATGGTTGAAATCGGTTAACCATAACTTAAGTTAGAAATTCAAAAAGTGTCAAAAACGTTTTTTACACTTAAAAAAAAATTTTATCCATAAAAAAAATTTTAAGTGCCATTTTCTTAATCAGGAAGACGTACCTTACCGGACAACAAAGGTTTCATTCATGGTATATTTCATCGATTTTTTTTTGTAAACTGGTGTAATTCAAACAAGAAAGGAAGCTAGCTTCGGCCAGCCGAAGCTTATATACCCTTGCAGATTATTCCTATTAACTTACAAAAACATTTAATTTAGATTTATTTGCATATATGTTACAACAATCAAAATTTTAGCTGCTTTCGTATTATTTTTATCCTTTCTATGGCAGCTATTAAATATAGACGTCCGAATTTTGTTAAATTTAATTCGAAGTTTTAAAATGTTAAAGAAAATCTGTATCACAGAGATGAAGAGAATGTAATAAATATCAACAAAGATATAATTTTTTTCCTATTGATTTTCATTTCATTTTTGACGGTTCCTATGCCACCGATATGATATAGTTATCCGATTTTGATAAAATTAAAATTAAAATTCGGAATTATTTAAAAAATTATATTCCCAAGAGTAGAAGGTAATACTTCTCTTGGGAATATAACTAAAGTAACTAAAGATAGAATTTTTTAACGTTTGTTTTCCGATCCTTCCTATGGGAGCTATACGATTTAGCTTTCTGATCCGGTCGATCCGACTTATACCTGCAATAGAAAAAAGACTTTTGGGAAAGTTTCAAGCCGATAGCTTCAAAACTGAGAGACTAGTTTGCGTAGAAACGGACGGACAAACGGACCGACGGACAGATCAACTCGTCTAGTGATGCTGATCAAAAATATATATACTTTATGGGGTCGGAAACGTCTCCTTCACCACGTTGCAAACTTCTGACTGAAATCATAATAACCTCTATTTTTACTATGAATTTCAGCACAAGGAAATGAATCAGTAAATATGCAGAAGTCAAAATCTTTATCTAATGTTGGACAATTTGTAACCAAAAAAATATGGCGAAGTCGGTCGAAAAGCCAAAATAGACGGAATATCTCTAAAGGTTGTACAAATTTACCTTTACCTTCTCTAAAATGGTATCCATCGGTAAGAAAATTAAGTTTATAAGTTAAAATAATGCCGAAGCTATTTAAAATAAATTTCAGGAGAAATGTGTATGGATATCAGAATCCGGCGAAAGATTTCAAATTGTGGAGACTTTATTGATAAAGCTATCAAATACAGAATCAGATTTAGTTAAGGATTTCGCCCTGGAAAAAATTGAGGAACTGAATATTGGAAATATTGAAGGTATGTTGTATTGATGATATTTATCAATAGTTTACCCAATTTTTTTTGAAAATACACCAAGATGGATGATGCTGGTTCCTGGTTGGTTCCCCTAGATCGCAAATAAGAAATACCCCCACTTTTTATGGCTACATTTTTTTTAAAAGATTTTTTAAAGAAAATTTGTTTGCTTGTTTGGCTCGACAAACGGGAAAAAAAAGATTAACCTTTTTTTCAATTTTTATAAAAAAAATTTAAAATAAGTCTTATTATTATTATTATTTATTTATCTTCCTAGCGCTAAAGTTAACAATTTAACTTAAAAACAAGAGAGAACGCTATAGTCGAGTGCCTCGACTATTAGATACCCATTACTTCAGCTGGGGGGCCAAGAAGGAATTGTTAAGGCAAAACCTTAGGGAATATTTTTTAATTAATATTCAATAATAGATTTAAGTTAATCAATTGTAGTAAGATGTAGCCAGATAAGGATTTATCCATTGGCGATATAGATAAATAAATAAATAAATAAACAACTTAATAGAAATATGCCTTCTTATATGTTTTTCGCCGCTCGATTTTTACTCAGGGATCTCTTTCTAGAAGAGGCTTTCTAGAACTTTCAATTCTGCCTAGCACATCTCCCGTCTCTCTCTAGCGCAGGTAAATGCACTTGTGAAAAACGTATACGAGCAAAAAGAGACAAAATGCCCGCCCCATTTCAAATAATTTAAAATTTGCATTAAAAAAGGCAGATTTTTTCCAAAGCCATTTCCTAGATGGCGCTAGTGTATATTGTATTGCGCCATCTACCGCCAGATATTGGTACTACTAGTCATGAAAGGCGGAAATGTAGGCGCTGGCCAGGTTTAAGCGTTTATTGGGTTTGTGGGCGTTAGAGTGGGCGTGGCAATTTTTTAATTGGCCAATCGATAGGTATTGACGAAGCGAATACATATCATTTAATATTTTCATAATAGCTTCAAAACTGTGAGCGTTAGAGGGGGCTTGTGGGCGTTAGAGGGGGCGTGGCACCTTTTTGAAACAAACTTGCGCTGCGTAGGAGCTCCTAGAATCTGCATGCAAAATGCCAATCTTCTAGCTTTTATAGTTTCCGAGATCTCAGCGTTCATACGGACAGACAGACAGACAGACAGAGGGACAGACAGACGGACAGACGGACATGGCTAGATCGACTCGGCTAGTGATCCTGATCAAGAATATATATACTTTATGGGGTCGGAAACGCTTCCTTCTAGCTGTTACATTTTTTTGCACGAATACAATATACCCTTTTACTCTACGAGTAACGGGTATAATAAAGCACTAGTCACAAAACAAAGTTTACAATCTTACAGAAAGTTTTACAGAATTACTTAAACATATTTGCAAGTTTTGATTATTATCCGTAGTACAATTTTGAATTCTTTTCTATAGTTAGTTCTTGGATTTATAATTAGTTGTGTGTGGTTGTAGGTGTGGGTTAGTTATTTTTTAACATTAATAATAATTATTTCCGAAACTGTCTAGCACTTCTTATATTCTTTAAACTGTGTGGTAAATTATTCCAAAGCTTAACAGCCCATGCTTTTCACTTGAGGAAAAGTTGATTCTTGTGGGAATTGTATTATTCGTTCTGGCTGATTGTGCAAAGTTGAGAAACGAAAACAAGTAATTCGGTTCCTTAATCGTGACTATTTTGTGAAAGAGAATCAGTGTCCTAAATTCAACTAATGTGGAAAAGTCTAGTCCAAAGATTTGTTTAGCAATAAATAAAAATTGAATAAATATTGAAAATAAATCTTGCTATATTATTGTATGCTACGGTTAATTTATTCCTACTTATTGAGTCACATTTTCCAAATATTTCAATGAAGGGATTATAATCGACTTTGCTAATACCATTTTACTATGGGTCGGTAAAATACTCTGGATCAGTTTTAATTGACGTAGTTGACAATATGTCTTACCAACTATTTAGTTAATATGATTGTGCTGTTGAGCACAATTCGTGGTTGTCAATTATTTTAAAAATTGAAAATAAGTCTTATTATTGTCCAGTTTTTATTATAAAAATTTAAAATAAGTCTTATTCTCCAACTTTTATTATATAAATTGAAAATAAGTCTTATTCTCAAATAAGTCTTATTAAAAATTAAATCCACATATCTTTTGAACCAATGGGTATATTGCAAAAATCTAAAAACAGGATTTATCTTCCAGTCAATACCTTTAATATGAGTCATTATATGTCCAAGGACATTTTAAGGACTTAAAATGGCTTTTAATGTTCTATATATGTAACTTCGATGTTCTGTGGCAGTAATATGACGTCAAAAAAAAACCATGTAGTACCAGAAAATTTAAATGATAAGATTAAATAGCCCAGTCGAAATGCACCTGTCCCTCTGTCTTTTTTTGCATAAGGCTTAGTACTCAACCCAACAAAAAGTCGTCCAAAACAAAAAACTTCATATGAAAAACAACGTCAAAAAATTTTGTTTTATATGAAGGTTTTTGTTTTGGACGACTTTTTGTTGGGTTGAATACTAGCCCTAAACTAATAAAAAAATGAAAGCCGCAAATTTGCCAATTATTTATAAGTATATATTTATTTAAGTTATGTTATGTATGATCCACAAAAACATATCCTCTTGCTCTAAAGAATTTGCGGTTTTTGAAAAATCGATATAAAATATATCTTTAGGTTTCTTTAGTTAAGTTATGTATGATCCACAAAAACACATCCTCTTAATCTTAAGAATGCGCGGTTTGGGAAAAATCTATAATTGTAGAGCCAAGTATAGGCAATAGTGTCCTAGCTAAGAAGAAAAAACACAATTCGCTGTTTTGGAAAAATCGATATAGAACATATCTTTAGTTAAACTGTGTATAATCCACTCAAGCTAATCCTCTTGTTCCTAAGAATACGCGGTTTTTAAAGAATCGATCATTATAGAGCCTAATATAAGAAAGAAATGAAAACAAAATCCAAGGCAACTACTTACTACAAATAGTTTTATAAATTTGATTATTTCTTCATATTTATACCCGTTACTCGTAGAGTAAAAGGGTATATTGTATTCGTGCAAAAAAATGTAACAGCTAGAAGGAAGCGTTTCCGACCCCATAAAGTATATATATTCTTGATCAGGATCACTAGCCGAGTCGATCTAGCCATGTCCGTCTGTCCGTCTGTCTGTCTGTCCGTATGAACGCTGAGATCTCGGAAACTATAAAAGCTAGAAGATTGGCATTTTGCATGCAGATTCTAGGTGCTCCTACGCAGCGCAAGTTTGTTTCAAAAAGGTGCCACGCCCCCTCTAACGCCCACAGTTTTGAAGGTATTATGAAAATAGTAACTGATATGTATTCGCTTCGTCAATACCTATCGATTGGCCAAGTAAAAAATTGCCACGCCCACAAACCCAATAAACGCTTAAACCTGGCCAGCGCCTACATTTCCACCTTTCATGACCAGTAGTAGGGGAGAGGTCTGTAGGTTGAGACAGTCTGTAAGTTGAGACAATCAATTTTCTCAAAACTTTTCCACAAAAAAAATTTTTTTTATTTTTTTTTTGTAGTCCTTTTTAGTGACAAAACTTTTAGGGAAAACATTATAAGCCAGGCTCTAGCCAGATTTAAGCTGTGAGAGTCGTGTACCATTTTGCACCAAAAAAGTTTTTGTCTACTTTTTTCAAAATTCCATTTAAAATTAATAACGTCCTCAAATTAACTTGGTAAGAGATTTAAAACATTAGTATATTAACTGTTAACTAATTAAAAAAAGAATCAGCTTAATGTGACAGTCAGAACAAAAGTTATTAATTTTTTCTCGAAACATCCCATTTTGTGTAAGTTGAGACACTTTGAGCGTGTAAGTTGAGACACCCGTTTTTCATACAAAAAGGCCTGAGGCCAAAAGAGGTCGCTTTCTGCCTAGTACATTTCTTTGATATTAGGGGAAAAGTGAATGTTCAAAGAGCCTTTTGATTTTGATGGTTATTTGGTCTAAGTTCTTAAAAAATGGATGGGAAATGATTTAGGACGAGCTAAAATTGATTAAATTAACATAAATAAATAGTTCCATATAGTTTGGAGTACTTTTTGTGTGAGTATTATTGACTTTAAAAAGTGTCTCAACCTACAGACCTCTTTTTCAAATTGTCATTTTTTGGCACTTTTCAAAAAAAATTGTTTTTTAGTTTTCCCAAGGAAAAAAAAATTTTTTTTTGCTTTATTTTACAGCTAAAAGACTAAGCTTTCGATCAGTACCTAACACGTGAAGTTTCAAAAGCGAATGTCCAAATGGGAGACTAAAAACAAAAGGTGTCTCAACCTACAGACCTCTCCCCTACCAATATCTGGCGGTAGATGGCGCAATAATTTATACACTAGCGCCATCTAGGAAATGGCATTGGAAAAAATCTGCCTTTTTTTCTGTGGTCACTCTAATTCACATTATGTTAATGCAACTTTAAATTACTTGAAATGGGGCGCGCATTTTGTCTCTTTTTTCTCGTATACGTTTTTCACAAGTGCATTCACCTGCGCTAGAGAAAGACGGAAGATGTGCTAGGCAGAATTGAAAGTTCTAGAAAGCCTCTTCTAGAAAGAGATCCCTGGGTACAAATCGAGCGGCGAAAAACATATAAGAAGGCATATTTCTATTAAGTTGTTTAGCTGAGTAACGGGTATCTAATAGTCGAGGCACTCGACTATAGCGTTCTTTCTTGTTTAGTATAGGTTTTATTATAATTGAGCACAGACCCTCGAAGATATCTTAAATCAAAACATTAAATGTTGCTACTTTTTTCAAACCGCGATTGCCCAAATACCACCCGTTAAAACTAAGTATGCAGATATGCTTATATAACATACGTCTACATTAACATATTTTAATGCCAATAGGCCTGCACCATTTAATGAAGTCCATTTTGTTGACCTGTGTAATTTTAAAAAGCTAGCTTGGTCTGACTAAATTGTTGTATGCAAATTTACATTTCCTGTAATTATTCTGT